TTCTCTATTTTCTGTCAAATGTATTTATTTTTATATGAATTCCTGTTAAATATTAGCATTATTATGTGTAAAACAATATGATTATCATGTTTTAAAAATATTTATTTTTGAACTTAAAATTTTTAGCATGCAATATAGATGAATACTTGTATAGATAGATAAATACATAAATACTTACAACAAAAAATACATAAATATATAGATATATACATTTACAGATACATAATTGCATGTATATACATGTTTGAATAGTGAATAATATGAGCATAAGTATATATGCATAAATACATATCTATATAATATTCATACATGTAAATATGAAGTTAAATCAGGTTTGAATTGGGTTGAAATCGGTGAAACTGTCAAGGGTTGCAACCCTAATTCAATCCAAAATTAACTTGGATTCATACTTTTCAACTCTAACCCAAATTTCAAGCTAATCCAATTCGACCCTAATTTTTTCAAGCTGATTGGGGTAATTCGGCCCAAATTGCAGCCCTACTTAGAGCTAAGAAGTAACAAGTGGGCTACACTGTTAAAACAAATGTCAGTAAAAGAGAATATAACATAAAAAACTGTTCGAAAGAGCTGAAATATCCTGAAGATGAGAAATAACATCAAGATCAGCACAAGCATCAAACCTTCCTTTCCCTACATTTTCTTTCAAATCAAACACAACCTAAAGGATAAGATAAAATATTATAATTAGACGAATTCTTACCAAGGGCTCTACTCCTCCATGTATCATGTATAGTAATGATAAGGTTGGATGGTGATCTGGTGAGGGCCCCACCAAACAGATATCAGAATTTAGACCAATGTATTGTAGGTATGGATCAAGTTAGATTAACCAGCGGATCAGATTCCATCAGGCTTGCTATTATATCAATTACTTGCTATATACCGAATAAATTTGATATATGAGAAAAGATTCCCTAAATGGTCAAGTAGGGAGATTCTCAAAATGATCTATCCTATTTCTGCAGCGTGGACAATTGATCTGGCAGAATGAACCACTACGTGAAAGGCCATCTGGATTGACCACATATCCCATTCTTTTGTCCAAATCAATACTATATACCCCACCTTGCATGGATGGCTTTCCCCAACAAATTCTAGCCATCCATGATCCATCTAAAGGAAATTCTTAATATATAAAAGTATGTACAAAAGGAGTGGCTATTATTCATGCATGAATAGTGCTATAGGTTGAAACGGTCCAAATATTAATATATTCGAATATGCAAAATTTGTGTATTAAGGGTTTATTGTCACCATTTTTTTTTTGTTTTTTTTAACTTATTGTCTTGGTTTGATAATTATTTGTTAGTGGGTATGTCATCTCATTCATTAACATATCACATAATTCTTAACATTTAGAGGATCGATGGCCAATTGATACATATTATAGGTCCGTTCTAACTCCATGCATTTTAAGTGAAGGTTATAATTAAATAAGCACTTATAGAATAAATAGCTTACCAAATACTTCAATACAAGTAAGTGCTTATTCTTAAAATAAGAATAAGCAGTTTGAAAAAAGAACCTCCCAAACTCTAATAAGCTATTGCTTATTTCATAAGCATATATATTAGTCTAATTAAAATAGACCTTCAATACAAATATGTAGGGACTTTTTGACCTCTCTACTAGATTGCCACATGTTCATGAATCAAATGGGGCTATCCAAATCTACTACACTTTTTCATGCATTTCCATTTACTAGTTGTCCAATTCAACATGTATAAAAATAGGATATTTGTCACAGACTGAATGGAAGCGCAGGATAAAAGATTAGACATTCCGGACTTCACTCCGGCTGTGTTTGGTTTGAAGGAAAAAAAGTAAGGAATTGTAGGAAAACCTATACAAGGTTTGTAAAGGTTTCCCTACATTTCCCTTCCTTTCCCTACCTTTTCCTTCAAACCAAACATAGCCTTAGGGTAGGGGTGTATGATATGATTTGATCCTATTTAGTCGAATTCAGATCACCCCTATCCGATCCAATATATGTTATAGATTTATTTATATAAACATACGTATATATAATACATATATATGTTATTTATTTATTTATAAATATATTATTTATATTATATTTTTGTAAATTTATTATATTATTTGTTTTTTATACAAATATTATATATATGATGAAAATAATTAAAAATACTTGTATTTTTTTTTGTTTAAATTGGTATATTTTATTTTTCTTTTAATAATTTATTAATTTTTAAAGAAAACAAATCAGATCATATCCGAAGATCTGACTTCTCGATCGGATTCAAATTCAGATCATTGCCTATTAGGTCCAAATAGATCTACCATGAACAGTGCCACATCAGATTCGAATATACCCAATTTTAAATCCAATCTGATCCGATCCGTTTGCATCCCTAAGTTAGGGGAGCTCTCAGCTCACTATAACTCAATTAGATAAGCTCCCATAAAGGTTTCGTAGTAGATCAACCTGGAAATCTCCTGTAATTCTGTAACATGCATGGAGGAATCTTGTGAATAGCATCCATTAGCAAAAGGCTTTTTGGATGGAATCGGATATGCTCCCCACACCAACCCCACAATACATTGCACTTGCAGCCACAGATTAGAAACATTTACTGGGATCCTACACTCACATCAGCCTGGAGTTTTGCCCATTCAGCAATAGCTTCTTTTTCATCACATGGCAATGTCCTTTTACCAAAATTCTTTTTCTATGAGAATAGGGAAAGAAGAGGAACAAACTAAATAGCCACGTGGGTTGTCTAAGACTTTGTCACTAAAAGACACAACTAGCAAGCTCATTTTTATTAACTGAGATGTCTTGTTTTTCTATTACAATAGTAGGCCTAAGTCTCATGAAAATTACTTGATTTTGATAAACAACGTATTCTATTTGAGCTAGATCCAAATGCAACAAATCAAGTTCCTAATATTTGATAAAACTTGCATGTTTTCATTACAGCCAATGGGCCTTAAGGTTGACTTATGTGGTTTTGTTAAAAACTTGAATAGATCCGGCCCAGAAAGGCAGAAACCCAAATTAACCTGAAGCAATGTAAATTCTTCAATTTCAAATCAGACCTGCACCCCCAGACACAGACCTGATATTTGGCACTTCTCCACAAACTTGAACCTACATTCTCGCACAGTTGGAGATGTGGATAATGCAATTATTCGAGCCAAAAATGTTAGAATTATAGTCAAATCTAATTCAGTTTGAATGGATTTGTAGACCTAGCTTGCTATCGATCTACTACCGTGACTATCCTCATAAAAAACAGTGTCTTTAATGAGGGATGAACTTATACATACATCCTAATTCCTAACCTTTGACATTTTTTCAGCCCGCCCAAGCAATCAAATTCAGCTAATCCGCTCTCCAATACCTACAAAATAATTCAAAATACAAATTGGTCATTTATATTATGTGCAAACTATGTGTATCAAAAAGTCAGTCATGATTACAACCTAACAAGAGGTGAATGGAGCCCAAAATTGGTCCTTTTAGTGTGCCTCATTTTGAATTTGCCTTAGGCGAGTACTGAAAAACACTAGTGCCTTAGGGTCCATTTGGTTCTTAATTGGAATTGGACTTTCGCTTATTTGATTTAGACCGGAATGGAAGTCAGCTGGGATGGGTTCTCATTATCATTCTCTCAAATGGGAAAAAATGCCATTCTGCTAGAAATGAAAATAGAATTTTAATTCCACCCAACCAAACAGTTGAACCATTTCGATTCTGATTCCATACCCCCTTATTTTCTATGAATCAAATGGACCATTATTAATTCTTTGTATGACTTTGCCACAAATCCCTCACTCCCCCACCCGTTTTTCTTAGGCTCAGTTTAAAAAGAATACAAATACAAATACAAATGCAAGGTTTTACACTCTACATATCTATATTTGTACTCCTTCCAAACTGAGCTCTCTGCGACATATTCATATGCTGCGATTTCAAAAGGTGAGTCAGATTGTTTGTCATTTCTTATGCTTTCTCGGGCCTACATGATGTTCAATTGTATCACATACGGTCCAATGTGCCATGACATCACCCCAAGCGCTAGCGCTGCGCATGGTAGATTCCAGTAATCCGGTCCTGACTTAGCTCCTGTTGGGTGGTCTGAGCAGCAGCTCGATAAGGCTAAGTGGTGGGCCAAAGGGATTTCAGATAATCCTCCAAGGCTCTTGCCTCTAATTCAACAACACTCGTCCAATTTGGTCCGCTTTACATGACCAAAACAGTTGTCCTAACTACAAAAGTATTGGCCTCAACTTTGAAGCAACTCTAATGAGGGTCCCCCTCCCCCTTCCCCCATGTCTCATGTCTCCTCTCCAGTCTCCACCCTAAACCCTGGACCGGTCCTTGGATTTGGAGTACAGAATCCCTAACTCATCAGATTAATTAATACTTCTCTTAGATGGATTTGGATGCCACCTCTGGCCCAAAGGCCCCCAAGGCCCAAATAGAGAGTTGGGGATTCTGCGACTGCGAGCCATTCTCTCGCAGTCGCAAATGGGTTTCCATTATCATCAACATTCAGAATGTCTCGTCCTGGAGCCTGGAGGCTGCATCCTGAATTCCCGATTCCTGAAGTAGAGATTAGAGATGCATCAGATCATCAAGACGAACTGTCAATGGAAATTATCTTTGTTATATGATCATTGATCGGTCATTGAGGAAATGGTGGTAGCCCACAAACGTTATCATCTCGTTGTTCAGATGTAAGGGAAGACAGATCATTCCCGTCCTCCCTTTCTGCGGCTGCCTGCCCCCGAACCCGATTATTATTTTTTATATTCAAACTTTCTGATAGAAATCACGAAAAGTCCAAAACAGCTGAATTCCAAACGCATCAAACAAGAAAATTTTGCTTTATTAATTATTTCCCCCATTTCTTTCTTACCGTTGTAATGGCGTGTAGTATTCTCTCAAAAAAAGTAAATAAATAAATAAATAATGGCGTGTAGTATTATTGTAGCCTTCACTCTTCAACTTCTCAAGGCCCAGCCCAGACCAACCAACATACTCTAGTTCAACTACGGGACCGAGATGAGTTCACTAAATCCAATTTCATAAAACCGTCTGAAGTCCGGTTCAAGTGCTGACAACACCAGAATGTACGACGTCGATGAGTTTCCTTTCCCCTCTCTCTCTCTCACTTGGAAGTCGGAACTCGAGAATCGAGTGTGAGTGAGTGAGTGGAAGTGTGGAACTGTGACTGAGATACAGAGAACGAGGGTGAATATCTCGGCAAAGCCAAAACCAATACTATAATCGGAATTTCTGCCCGAAGGAAAAGGGGTGGGGGTGAAGCAATCAAGCAAGAGAGAGAAAAATAAAGAGAAGGTAAGGAGTAAAGTTGTGGTCGGAGGAGGGGAAGAATGGCGAAAGGATTTGTATTTGCGACTCCGGTGGTGGTGCTAATACTGCTACTTCTTTTCTATGCAGGTTCGTCGTGCATTCTCAGCTTCTTGCTTTCATATGCATTTCCTTTGATGTATGAACCTGGGCAACGCTGTTTTCTCTTCAACTGTTTTGAGCTTCCTATGGTTATGTTCTTTATGTTATTTGACATCAGTCCCTATAAAATGAAAATCTGCAGTTTCTGATGCTTATGTCTGACTTCAGATTTCAGAAGAAAAAGGGATTCTTTTTTTAGTCTCCCCTCTTACCGGATTGTTGAATGTTATCCTACCTTCTTCTTAAGCTAAATTTATATGCATTTTGTTTATTCTCACTCTGATTTGGGCTATTGTTGTTAATACTTTTTTCTTCCATTGTTTTTTCTTCGATGTAAGCTCATGCTATAATTCCTTACTTTGTTTCGACTCAATAGTTTTAAACTGCCAAGCTTTGTCGAATGTATTTCTCCATTCAATCATCGTGCTTCCCCCCTTTGGGCGCCCCTTTACAGTTCTCTCCTTCGGAAATCCTGCAACCCTACTTTCTTTTCCATTGATGTCGAGACTCTGGAGGTCTTTTTCTGTATAATTTTCTTTGGAAATACTTGAACACAAAAGAGTTTTCCTTTTTACTCTCCTATTTATTGTCTAAGTCGATTGTTTGTAACTGCTATATGTTCTTCGTTGTGATGGTTTGGTGCTAATTGCTAAGTTCTGACGCCTACTGTGGTCTTTGTGGGAATTAATGGTTTCTCTTTTTTGGCACATCACTTAAAATAATAACGCCAAATTTGGCCTCCATGGTGGTCCACATTTGCTGCTTCCATTAACTGCATTTGATATTATTGTTCGTTTTGTTTTGGAGGACTTAGTTATTTGCGGTCACTTATCTGTTCTTTTTTCTGTTCCTTGTCTCTACCTATTTTCTGTTTGTGCTTCATGAACTTCACCATTTCAAATGCACACTTCCGCTTGCTGCAATATGTCGCACAGGACAGTTGCACATGGGATGCATCTGTATCAAACTGCATCTTAAATATTTTCAAGTGGATTCAAGATTCATCTTGAATCATGATGTAGCATGCATACATCTGTTTAGCTGCGGCTTAAAAATGATGATGAATCTTGAATCATAATGTATCAAGCATGTCTATTTTGTATCTTCTCCTATCCATCAATAAGCCATGAAAGACTAAAGCAAGGAGTCAACAACCAGGGTTTGTTGGAAGGATCCTTCTGTTGAGTGAAGTAGTGAATTTCATTGTATGAATGAAGCTCACAAAGGTACATTGTGCACGGGAAAAAATAAACCCTAGTTTGTAAAGAGAATTTATTAAAAATTAAGCAGAGGAAAAAGACAAAAATAAACCCTCGCATTTGTCCTTCCTCTTTTAAAAAAATTTTAAATTTCTTTCTAACATGCTCTTTATGGATTGATTTTGTATTCTGCTCTCTTGCACTTGAAGGTCCCTCTCTAAAGTGGAATGTAATCACTTTGACCATAACATCTTCCATCCCTAGGGGCCCTAACTGAATCAATTTTCTGACAACTAGTTGAGTAGTGGTTTGCTTAGTTGTTTTTCATGAGGAACAAGGTTCTGCTTTTAAACCCTCTAGTTCTTGTTCTTCAGTGATGCATAACTTCACCAACCTGAGTGATATTGACGTCATGGGCTGTGCTTGTTATGGAGCCCTTGTATCATAAAGGAACAAAATGAATAACCCTATAACCCTTGTGTATCTGTTACAGAATGTCCTACTTATGTTTTATTCCTTTGCGATCTAAAGGTCCATTGAATTGCATGCATGTGACGCTAGCTTTTTAGTCAACTATTAAGCTTTTAATTTTCCTTTTGTTTCCATGCATATGGCTTCAAACAGGGACCTGTATCTCCTACACCTGACACACTGTGCTAAGTTGTAAACTAACCAATGAGAATTTATCAAAATTCATGAGGGTGGTTTTGTTTGGTCCCACTCTCAAATATGAGAGTGGGTGGGTATGATACAGGAAGAAAAGGCTCTAGTAGATCTGGATGGTTAGTGTACAACTTAGTAGAAAGCATCAAGATTTGTAGATCTGGATGGTTCAAACAGTATAGATTGAAGAAAAGGCTCTAGGATTTTGCCTCAAGGACTAGGCCTCAATTACATATTTTAAGGCCTAAGTCTCCTGGTGAAAAGGTGGATGCCCTTAGGCACAAGGTGGGTATGCAGACTAAGGTGCAGAGAAGAAGTTATTGTTTTTATTTTTACTTATTTGAGGTCTACAGAAGTTAAATTTGACATATGTTAGGTTGTATTGTGGCTATCCAGTTTGTTCTCTGTTTGTGTATTTAAATACATAACAAGACTCGTGCGCATGTGATTTATGGTTGGCAGTTTAATATTTCCTTGTAGCCAAGCTCATGTTATTTTCCTGTTTTTATCTTCCTGTAGTATCTGTTTATAAAAAGCACCAATGTTTGTTTTCTATTTTCTTTTCTCTTTTTCTGCTTTCACAAAATTGTTGGAATTGCCCCTACAATCTCACCCAGGGCCTCTAAAAGTTTCCAGTTTCTATTACAGAACTCTGCAGGGCAAGTACAATTGGAGTCTGCTATGGAAGAAATGCTGATGACCTTCCTACCCCTGATAAAGTAGCCCAATTGGTTCAATTACACAAAATTAAATACCTGAGGATTTATGATTCCAACATTCAGGTTCTCAAGGCCTTTGCTAACACTGGGGTAGAACTCATGATAGGGATTCCAAATTCTGATTTGCTTCCATTTTCCCAGTTTCAAGCCAATGCAGATACATGGCTTAAAAACAGCATTCTCCCCTACTACCCTGCCACAAAGATTACATATATTACAGTTGGTGCTGAAATCACTGAAAACCCTTCAAATGTCTCTGCTCTTGTCATACCTGCCATGCAAAATGTCCACACTGCTTTGAAGAAAGCTGGCCTGCATAAGAAGATCAAAGTCTCCAGTACTCACTCACTCAGGGTCTTGTCTAGATCTTTCCCACCATCTGCTGGGGCCTTCGACCCCAAGTATGCCTTCTTCTTGAAACCCATGTTGGAATTTCTTGCAGAGAATGAGTCCCCTTTCATGGTTGATATCTATCCTTATTATGCTTATAGAGACTCCCCTACAAATGTTTCTCTGGATTATGCTCTGTTCCAGTCATCCTCAGAAGTTATTGATCCAAACACCGGTCTGCTTTATACAAGCATGTTTGATGCCCAGATTGATGCTCTCTATTTTGCATTGATGGCTTTAAATTTTAGAACTATAAAAATCATGGTTACTGAGACTGGGTGGCCTTCCAAAGGATCACCCAAAGAAACAGCTGCAACTCCCGATAATGCTCAAACCTACAACTCCAATCTCATTCGCCATGTCATTAATGATACTGGAACTCCAGGAAAGCCCGGGGAGGAGCTTGATGTCTATATTTTTTCATTGTTCAATGAGAATAGAAAACCTGGCTTGGAATCTGAGAGGAACTGGGGCTTATTTTATCCTGACCAAACTAGTGTATACAGCCTTGATTTCTCTGGAAGAGGGGCTGTTGACATTACACAGGCAAACATTACAAGTTCAAACGGAACCTGGTGCATTGCTTCATCAACTGCTTCAGAACTGGACTTGCAAAATGCTTTAGATTGGGCTTGTGGTCCTGGGAATGTGGATTGTTCAGCTATTCAGCCTAGCCAGGCCTGTTATCAGCCAGATACTTTACTCTCCCATGCATCATATGCATTCAACAGCTATTACCAGCAAACTGGAGCCACTGATGTTGCTTGTAGCTTTGGAGGTACAGGGGTGAAAACTAATAAGAACCCAAGTAAGCATGTTGTTCATCTATTCTTGTTATGATTCTCTCTCTCTCTCTCTCTCTGACATGAATACCTTGTACTGAGCCAACTCATCGTTATGAAAGGAAGGAAACAAGAATAAGAGCTGCACAAGGGTCCTAGAAAATACAATTATTAGTGTAGAAGATCTACTATAACAAAATGTTTCATGGTTGATTGATCATGACTTAGCAGACCCTATTTGTATGTCCATTATCCCATCATCAAAACTTTTTTACTTTTGAAAACCCCTTGTTGAACCATCTTGAGTTACGTTACATTAACTTGCTATTTAATCAGGATTTTTCACTCAAGCTGGGTAATAAGGTTTTAACAAATTTCCTGTCTAAGGTCTCTTGTAAAACATGAAAACTTATTACTCACAAGTGTGTAATATGTGCAGGCTACGACAACTGCTTGTACATGACATTTGGGTATGTCTGCTAGAGATAAATCCCTTGTTTCATTTTCAATGGCAATATATATATATATATAACTTTGTTTCTTCTGTCAACTACTCATTGGAGTGGATTTGATTTTGCAATTTTAAACAGGAGCAACACGAGTGCTGCAAATAATGTGACAGCATCCCCTTCAAGTTCATCTTCTATAGAATTCAATATAACTGCATGGATATCTGGTTGCCTAGTTGTGGTTTTCCTCTCATTATTCTGACATTGTGGCCATATCCAAATAAGCCTGGTTCCAGAAGCCTGTGGAGTTTTTTGCAGAGAAGAGGTATCCTGCTGCATGCAGGTAGAGACGACAAGGAGGGAATTGCAAGACAAACCTCTTATCTTTTGTATTTGTAGAGTGATCTGTTTCCATTTGTTTTAATACATGAAAAATTGGTCTGTCCAAGAGATAGGATTGGTTGTAGATCTGTGTTGCTCATATGTGGAAATGTGACAATGGGTAGTAAACGAGTATAGGAATAATTTGGTGTCATTTAAGAGTTCTTGTATATCAATTGACAAATCAAGGTCCTATCTCAAAACTTATGGTTGCTTTGATTATCCTCTGGCATAGTGACTACCAATAACGTAATAACTTTACAAACAGCAGTATTTCAGAATTCTTGGTTCCAACCAAGGTTCAAAGTAGCGACACATTGTTTCAGGAGCTCCCTAATATGCCCCTACAGGGGGTATATCGGGATTCTGACCGGTTCAGGGGGTGGAGGAGCCTTAAACCAGTCCCTTGAATCGGTTTTGAAAAAAATAAAAAAAAGTACCAATATATCTCTTCTGGCGTATCGAGCGTATTGATATTTTGAACCTTGATTCCAACTTCCAATATCAATGTAAGATGATGACAAGGGTACTGGGAGTCCAGATCATCCACTTTGAAACTGAATTTTTTGTTTCGAGATCTCTGACCTTCCGAAGCTGAACATGTTGGTCCTGCCATCAGTTCAAATCTACAATGCCATTGGATATCCTGAGAGCTAGCTAACTGAAGTCTTGGGGAGATGCCTTGGCAGTTGGAACTTTATAGGATTGTTGGTTGAATGGGTCGGCCTGATCAGTCTGGACTCGATCTTTTTTATTTCTGCAGAATGCGAACTGATCGAGCAGAGCCTATTCAATCAAGGTATGTCATGGAGTAGAGACCTACAGTCTGCAAATCTCGGCCTTCTAATCTAGGTTAGGATATTGGCTAATTCCGCTTACGAGAAAACTCACGCAACGGAAGAGTTACATGCATCTTGGTCCATGGTATGGTAGAAGCTAAAAAGTCTACAAGAGAAAACATCTTTGGGCAACCATGCCCCCATTAGCTGCATGGCTATGACTTGTGGTAAAACAAAGCATTGAATCGAACTGAGCATAACTTTGCAAATTGCAAGTCGTCACGGTTCTTCTGATACACCAAGGAGATAAAACAATTTTCCTTTAGAGCAGCGATTGCAACTTAAGCACCTCACTCTAGTTGGGTACACCCAAGGTCAACTCTGCTGCGGGGACCTCGAGACACGCCTGTGCTTCATTTTCATTTCCTTCAATGGTAGAGAAAGAGGATCTATGCACTCTTGTCATAACAAAATTTCCGTTGGAGTATCGGATCGGAATGCCCAGACTCCCTACCTTTTTTCAACGTACCGTCTACACTCAGTAGGAGTTTTCATTCATCGGGTAGGACTCAAAGCTGAATTTGGGACGTCTACTTGACAATTGACATCTGAATAAGGATATTAAACAGAACTCAGGTGTACGTGCGAGAGAGGAAAAAATGGAGTAAAATTTTCGGAGAAGTACGTACACGTCTAATGCAGATTTCTGAATTCTACTGCAGATTTATAAACATTCAAAATGTCAAAAACCCATACTCCATTTTTTCAACGTACCATCTAGAATCAGTAGGAGTTTTCTGAATTCTACTTGACAATTGACATCTGAGTAAGGATATTATACAGAACTCAGGTGTAGGTGCGAGAGAGGAAAAAATTGAGTAAAATTTTTGGAGAAATACATACAGGTCCAATGCAGATTCTTGAATTCCAATACAGATCTATAAACATTCAAAATATCAAAAACCCCCATTTTATACACTAATGTGCCCATGAATTGGCATCAATTCCGAACTAGCACCTACACCAACTGTACTTTGGGCCTAAAAGTTCTGACCCTGGGCTGAACCATCATTCTCCCTATAGATTTCAACAAGAGGGCTAGGTATCCCGAATACCTCACAGCACTTGCAGCTGTGCATCTAGGGATGGCACCCCGAATGGGGCAGGGATGGGGATGATTTCTCCCGCGGGGACCCTAATCCCTGCCCCATTCGGGGTGAACCCCCACTAATATATATGTATATATGTATGCATATGTTGTATATGTATATATATGCACACACACATATATAATATATATAATTATAAATTTCAATTATTTTATTTTTATTTTTTAAAATAAAATAAAAATAAATAAAAATAAAATGGTTAACATTATAAAAAATCACAAGGATTGGGATGGGGATAACCTTATCCCTGTTAACAGGAATGGGGACGGGGACAAGGATGGAGATTTTTGGTGGGGATGAGGATGGGAATGAAAAAAATATATAAGTACGGGAGAGTTATTCATATTCCCCGATGTGCAGCTGTAACTTGCTGTGAGAACGATTCTGTAAGGAGGAAATCTTGAACTCCCAAAAACCATCCTAGACCCATGAAACTTAGCAAATCAGGCCATTTAAACCTTGACGAGTTGAAATCCGTTGCTAACGAGATCACATTTGCTGCCGTCACACTTCCTTGTGATGTAATCCCAACAATTTCCTTGTGAGTTCCCAATAAACCAAAGACACCAGCGATTAAATCATCAATTAGTTTTGAATTTCTGAAAGCAATGGGGTATAATTAGGGTTAGCTATGAAGAGTTTTTTACGAGTTATTCGAGTTTGCTTCGTGAAAAGTTTGATTCGATTTAGTCTAAACCAAGCTTTGATCTGAATTTAAACCTCCTATAAAACTCTATTCATAAGGCCCACGAGCAGTTGAGTTCAAGCTTACAAGTTTTTGACTCAAGCTGAATTCGAACTCAAGTCTCTAGTTCGAATTAAACTCAGGCCTGATGGTTTACTAATGAACTGAGCTTGAATAACTGATATTCGACTCGGCTTATCCACCCTAAAAATATTGTGTTTTTATTTTGTTGATGGTCACACGACTAAAATCATGCTGGGCAAAGTTTAAAATTGCATCGGCAGTAATAGATTTGCTCTTTCACTATAACTGATGATCATTATGTAACAATTCAAATAGCATACGTTCTATAAATAAGGTTTCTGTTCTGCAGCCATCGAATTTGCATTGAATTTACATTGGCACCCGAGAGCACATCCCAACTAAGTATTGGGAACATCTTTCAATGACAAGTATGGGAAATATTCCTAATGCACGCTAAGATATCCACGTGGGGCATTGATGTGATCTTGTTCACATTGTGTCAGATTGAATTAATAAATACCAAGTTCCCATAAAATAAATTATTTACCCATGAGTTCACCATGGGTAAATTGGGAAGTGTAATGTGAAAATTCCTACTTCATTACTCTCAATTGTATCAGATATCCTAAGTTAGAACAAAAATTCAGATTGATGATTTGCATATCATAGGAGGTGTTCTATAACGTGGATGGAAAAATTGATGGATATAAATTGATCCACAACACATGATAGGGGCCAATACATATCACATTATATCCACATAGTTGTTTTGAACTCTAGACAAATTGTATGGATTGAATCAATTTACACACATAGTGTTCTACAAGTGTCCATACTTTTTACTTATATGCACTTTACATACAATTTGTGAAATAGCTACAAGTCGATTATAAATGAATAATTATATCCAAACTAATTTGGAAATAGTATCAATAAATTCATATTAGCCAATAAAAATTTATTTTAACAAAAATATTTTTTTTGTTAAAAAAAATTTAAAATTTAACATAAAAAGCTAATAAGTTATTTAAAACACAATAAAAACAAAACTTATGCTAAAAAAACTAAAAGGAATATCATCAAATTATAGGTTCCATTGGTTCACATAAACAAAGGGCATGCGATGTGCTGAGATTTTGGATTGAGATGGTTCTCTGCCCATGAGATATTAGGGACATGAATCATCCCCAATGAACCAAACTGCGTGGACAAGATCAAAATAGGTCCGTCCATGATATGAAAACAGTAAGACTCTGTTTGTTTGCAATACAAATGCCGAACCAAGGTATTTATGTGCTGTGGTTCACGTTTGCGAGTGTTTGTTTGACATCTGAAAAGTAATGTTTATTATATCAAAGATGTATTTTTTTGACATTTTTGTACTTTGAAAAGTGAGCATTACCATGCCTATTTTTTGGATACAATTTTGTATTCTTTTGATAATTTTTTAACCAAAGTTATGGCGTTAGAGCATAAGGTAATTGAAGCCAAGGTTTAAAGTATCGGAAACGCAAGGTGTATCGGAAAGACAATTTTAAGAAACGATCGGGATACGTTTTGGATATGCATGGATATGGACGAAAAATCAAGATACACATAAATATGTTAAGAAATTCAAATATATTATTAAAAAACCATAATTTAACTTTTATATAAAATGTGGCATATCGATACATAATTAGTAGCCATTGAAAAATGATGGAATAACCACAATGTGAAAAAAACAAACATAACTAGTATACATCAATTTTCAAATAACCGATATAATTATCTTAATATTTATTATATATAAATTTTAATAATTAATTTCAGCATTTATTAATAAGCACCACTAAGAAAAGAAAAACAATTGACTTAAAACTAAAAATGCATGTAATTACAATAAACAAATCGTACTGGTTTAGTGGTGAAATTATATGCATTAAAATTTGGTGACTAGGGTTCGAGTTTTGCTATTGTTAATATTTGTAGTTTACACTAAGAAAACGAAATTAATGAGAGAGAGAGAGAGAGAGAGAAAGAGAGAGTCATTAATTAATAGAATTAATGAGAGATGTAATTAGACGCTAAAATTCAAATTTAAATTTAACTTTGCCTTAAATATAGGAGTAATTAACTAATTAATGAAGTTAGACTTAAATAGATAAGTAATAAAAGACATTAATGAGAGAGATCCAGTATTAAATATAGATTAATTGAATAAGGGAAACCAAAATGATTCTGTTTCGGGATTGCATCGTCCCATACAAATCCGAAACGGGCTGATACGGGCCTGTATCAGCCAATACAGATCCTAAACGGCCTGTACTAGCCGATACATTCGAAAAGAAACGAAAGACATGAATTTTACATGTTCTGTGTATCAGTTTCTTATGAAAACGGTACGTATCAGCTGATATGGGCTGATATTTTAAACCTTGATTGAAGCATTTAATGATGAGGCCCACACTTAACACTAATTTCAAATAAACAAGATGAATGCAAAAACGATTTAGAATCTAAACCGTATTTATATTCATGAACCATAAAAAGGATAAATATGCAATGTACTGTATACGTATTTACATTTGCATTGCAACCAAACACAACCTTAATATCGTTGTCTATTTCAAACATGCCGGGAGGGACGAAAGTCTATCGGCACAATCCAGGTTTTTCTCATGAACCGGCCGTTCCCGGTTTTCACCGATTCATAATGACCAATAGAAGTGGGATTCAGTGACAAATGGGCTAGGAAGAATTAGAGATGCTTGCGTGAATGGACATGCTTTTCCACATCTGGAAATTTGTTTTCAGTGGTATAAGTTCTCGTTTTCAATGGGTCTCTTTCTCTTCTTGACAATTACATTGGATGGAAGTTAACGCCTTATTTGAAAAGGGATCAAATTAACAAGTTGGACTATAGGTTGCACCTACTAATTACTGAACCAGGGGGTTTAGAGGATCCGGCAACCAGGAACATCCTTATGACCTACCATTTTCAGAAAATGTTACCTCCGTTGAGGTATATGATCTCAGGTCCGCCTTGGTTCATTCAAGGCAAACCTTGTATGGTTGTATTGGCATCTGATCTGACAAGGGTCTGAAGTTTTAAACTCTACCACCCTCGAATGGGAACACCCAGATAAAGGAGCCATAAACCAACCAGACAACGTTTCAACTTTCAACTTAAGGTGATACTTAAAGTACGTTGGCTGCAGCGAGTGAATAAAAAGGTGGTGAATTATATCGAAGATATCTCAGAGTTACATCACACATCCAACAGCAAGCTAACGTTAAGGGAAGGTGTGTGCTTCTAACAGACCTGGGCAGCTCATATTGTTCATGGTTTGTGATGGAGTTGGGGGGCTTATGGGTCCTCACAATTTAGCATTCATGTTTCAGATCGTAGGGATTCTGGAATTATGGAAAACGTGAAAGGGAAAAAAAACCAATAACTTGTTCTTAATCAGAGGCACAGCAATGAGAATAGATACCAGAAGAGTCTCAATCTAACAAATCCATTATAAAGAGAACCCAGAACCCACTATTAAACAGAATGATAGATAAGACCAATAGGTATCTCACTTGAAAACCATCATAACCCCTTCAACAGGGAGAATACAAAGACAGAGCATAAGTACGAAATAGAGCATTTCTACCACGCCCAAGAACCAAATACCTTTGTTTCCACACAGTTTCCCATGACCTCAAATTATGTAATATTATTCACTGCAACCATTACAATGGCAGGTAGGTAGAAGCAAACCCATAAAGAGAAGCCGAAAAAAAAAAAGAATTGCTATAAGTAATAAAACATACCAAGGCAACTAAAGACCCTGCTCAATAAGATAATCGCCAAGCCTCTCGACAATCATGTTACACTGGCCGGGAGCAAGTGGCTCATCATAGACACCAAAGATCAAGGCCTGATTGGTCTTCTTGACAGTAATACCACCGGCGCCCTGGGTTCAAAGTTCAGGAAAGTCAACAGCAAACAATTGCTAGATATCAAATCTGACAATGTTATGACATAGGACAACTGGAGAATCAATGTTAGAAAAAACATAAGGCATTGAAGAATAAATAATTTACTTCTCCTTCCCATCAACCAACACAACACAGGCACAGATACAGCATACAAGAATGTCATTACATAAAAAAAAAAGATTCTCATCTAGCTCTTTTTGAAATGTGAACTTCCAAAGAAAGCTACAGCGAGATAATGAGGTCCACCATGTTTACAGGGAAGCCAACTCGGCAGCTCATGAGTTGGCTCATTATTCTCCTTCTTCTTTGGTTTTCTACTCTTGAATTCATTAATCATTTTGTATCCTCAGAGAAACTAAACCCTGGATCCCTGTAAACTGTTTTTATTAAGCTACAACAAGAAACCATGATTACAAGCTACAAACATCTGGGATGACTCAAGATGATGGCAGTAGCATTTTCTGTGAATTGGATGTCTTCTACATAGACAGTAGAGTATGGCCTTTCTTTTGCTGGTTAAAATAAAGATCTAAACTGAACTGTCAGATCAATTGCTTCAAAGTCCCTAAGTGAATATGGGATGACGCAAGATGATGAACCTATGAATTTATAACCACGCACAAATGCCACCTAAATCACCAGTATAGAATTTTACCTGAGAATTCAAAAAAAAAGGCACTTCGATAGAGTGTTAGCCAAATGGATGATTTGAGTCTTAACCAATCTGATACTTGAAAACTTAACTTCAGGTTTTGGCAGTTGGGAACATCGCATCTTAGATTAAACCTTAACATCATTTACTACTAGCTATGCATGTATGCGTCTACATACTTGTGTTGTACCCAAAAGAAAGAAAGAAAGAAAGAAAGAAAGGAAAAAAAGGAGTTGCGAGGAAAGGAATATAACGTATCACCTTCTTGCCTCGAATAACAGCCCCTGGTTCTCCTTGGATCACCATATACTTTGTGCCACCGAGATGTAAGCCAGTTGGAGCAAGGGATCCAGGTTCATTAAAGTCATTCATAATGGCAGTTACTTCTTCAGGTTTAAACTACATTGCCACAGATTAGATTAATGAGTTGCAATATGTTAACTAAAAACAACAGGCATAAACACGAACATACATGTATATGCTGCTAATTCTTCTAATACAGAATTTAATCAAGACAGAAACCACTCTCTCAGTCCAAGTTAACATCATAACATGGAATCTCATACAACGTGAATTTCCTTTTGTGTAATCAGACCATACATTCTGTGCATACATGATATAAAGCATTTTAAAGAGAAGCAGAGAAGCATACATACGATGAAATATTTAATAGAAATATATAACTTGTACAAATATTTATTAAGGAAGAAAATGATGCAATGCGAATATCTTTGCAAAATCATGTTACGATATTAAGACAATGTGTTCATATCCAATCGCAGATGGCAATTTAGCTTAAATTGAGCAGTAAAGAAGCCCTGATGTTCTATATCCATAAAAATCTTCAAAATATCCTCCTCTGAAGAAAAACATCTAAAATATGATAAAAAGGGCAACTTGGAGATTTAATTGATGCTCTGGCGGGCAATGCCCAAACCTATGATAATTAACTGTTAATTGTGTTACCATTAGAAACAATTGATAAAGAAGAAAGACCAGGGCAAGTGCAGAAATGGGAATCCATTTAGTGCCAATACACATCATTTGCCTGAGATAAATCCATCTCAATTACATGAATACATGAAAATATACAAGGAAAGCTAATATTTCAAATATCATAATAATCCGAATCAAAGCAGCAATAAATTGGTAACAAATCCAAACCCTCGGACATATCCCCACTAAGCTAGTTCGGCTAGACAAATACATCCATCTCGTTACATACGGATTGGGTCGCTTCAGAATCAATTCGAGAATATGAAAGATACACATCAAATTGACAAACCTCAACTCCAAACTAGAATATAAAATAAAAACAGAGGCCTCAGAAATAATAATAAAAAAAAAGATAAGTGGTGATCTTTTTTTAGATTGAAACAATCAACAAATTAACAGGGGTAGTCAATAAAAGAAAAAAATAGAACAAAAAAAAAGATATATTAAAGTAATGCATGTAAAACATAAAATCGGGCATGATTTCAATTGAAACCAATACGAATCTCAACAGATCCTCGTTAGATCCGCATAATCTAAGAAACCCATAAGTAATCAACCAAACCCATCAATTAAAAATCGCAAAACAATCGAACTTTAGAATCTAAACCAGGATAGAAACAAGAACTCTACCTGAGGAAAGGTGGCGCTTTGGGCCCAAACGCTGCCGTCTTGGCCGATGATCGCGGCGGCTGTGAGGTGATTGCCCTCGATTTCGCACATCAGATGGTCATCAACGTAAGTTTGCCAAGACATCTTGTTCGATCTCTGTGCTTCTTCTTCGATCTACTACTGAGTTTCTTTGGTTGTTGTTCGAGTTTCCACAACGAGGGAGGCTTGAGAGCGCGAGGATAGTAATATAAAGAGGGTAGCGTAGAAACACCGAAAATGTGAAAACAACGAATCAATAAATAATTTTTTCCCTTTTCTTTTTTTGGTAATCTGAATTCTAAATGATAAAAGCTCCTGCCTTGAATTTTTATGGCATCTCTCCCTCAAAATGCGTATTTAACGCGATTTCATAAGTGCCCCTCACGTCCGCCAGTGTTAAATTACAAGTTTCTCCCTTCGTGTTATATGGAAATGGAACCATGCAATATAAAGCTGCTGGTCGAGTCGTATAGCGGAGGTGAGGAATCTTTAATAAAGGACAGGGCATAGGAGAATCTCCACGTGGCAAGATAGTAAGTGTCCTTTTCCACCTATTTCTCTAGCGTTCCTCTATTACAGGCTTTTATTTTTGTTGGTTTAAAACTCCTTACACGTGGCTGAAGTATATCCATTAAAATTCTGAAAAATTGGAGCCAAGAACCCGTTTGGCAGGGCTGAAACTTTGATTGAATTGCTTTTTCGAGGAATTAAAAGAAATTTCACAGCAGAAAGTCTTTTTTTTTTTTTTTTGCTATAAGAGGGCAAATGCAGGCTTTCCTAGAGTTTCACAAAGCAAAAACCGTTATGTGAAGCCCTAATGCCCGTTATGGAGGGCTTAAACACAGCTGCACTGGCTTTTTAAGGTGGGCCTTACATAGTCCATAAGCTATGTTTAGTGAAAATTAGGAGAGCCTTTTAAATCAGCTGTTCATTTGAAGGCTATCCACTTCAGCCTCGTTGAATAATTTATCTAAAGCTTTTTAAAGCAGTTGAACTCTAATTTATAGGGCTGTTTACGGATTGGGTTAGGTCGGTTTATTGATGTTTTTTCAATCAATCCGATCTGGTCGGGTTACTTGAAATTGAAACCAAAACCGGTCTTGTGTTAAGCAAAATCGATCTGATCGGTTTGAGTTGGTTTGGGTCGGTTTTGGCTCTACTTAGTGGTGATTTAGTTGTTGTTCAAGTGTTCATTTTTGGCTCTACATTCCCAAAGAAAACCAGTATTTCCTTAATGTTTTGTGGCCCATCTATAGATCCAGATGTGGAGGGAGCAGAGTTTGAGAGACAACTTAGTTAAGTAGGTTGTAACTAGGATAGAGACAACTTAGTTAAGTAGGAACTAAGTAGGTTGTAACTACTAACTAAGAACTAACTACTAAGTCAGTTCGGTTCGAGTTGGGTCGGTTTCGGTTTTTACACATGAAAACCGAAACCAAACCGAATCATCGGTTTGTGATTTTTTATAACCCGAAACCGACCGTTGCTGAAGAAAACCTGGTTGACTCGGGTTGGGTCGGTTTGGGTTGGTCAATTTGGTCAGGTTGAATCTTCTTATGAACAGCCCTACTAATTTAGCTGAATTTTAAACTCAACCCTCCCAATATAGGACCTAAGGGGCCGTTTGATAATAAGAGCAGAAGTGGCTGAACTGAAAATTTTGAAACAATTCAACTATGTCATGTATTATTTCATTATTTAATTACTGTCTCCACTAAATTCATCAACTTAAACTGTTATCAATCTTTTTCTTCTTTTTTCTTAATAACTTTGGTATTGTATGGTTGAGCAAATTCCAACTCAAAGTTATCTTGCCCTGTGGAAAGAGGGAACAAACTACAATGTAAGGATGTCGGTGGAGAGACGCATGATCATTCTAGGTCCCTTCTCAATGGAGGGACCAGCATTAGATTCGTCCACGTGTCAGACATAGGTAGTTGGGGGCTTGGGGCCTTCCGAAGGACCTTTTCCATTAGACATTAGGAGTCCTGATCATTTCGAAAAATAGAAAGATTATATGGTTGGTGAGCTAATAATATTTCCCACAATTCAACTAGTGATAAAGGTAATTAAGTTTGATTTTTGACATTAAACATAATTAGGTTACATTTGGCGTTCCTTAAATTTATTTCTTTTGGCCTCAACTGTTAAAAGGAAATAAATCCTTAAAATAAAAGACAAAATTAAATATTATGTAGTGAAATTTAATTTTTATCGTACATTAAAACTAAATAAGTATCCACTTTCTAATAGTATAGATTAGTATAATCTTTTTTTTTTAAATATTTTTTTACATGGAATAGCAAAGGTAGCAATTCAAATGCTTTTACATATTTCTTCCATGGGAAAGTGAGGTACAATATGTCACATACGTATGTAGAGATGAATGTGCTTACTCTATAATATTGAGTTCGGTTTCTGTTAGGGCAACGCCTGTCCGAACAGCCTTTGAAACCTTGCATTGGGAATATCTTCTAATATCTCTCCATTTATATGTTTTATTTCATGGGAAGATATTCTCAATTCAAAGTTGCAAGAGACTGTTGGGATGGTGTGAGCACAGGCTTGCCCTGACCGAAACCAATCTCCTATGACATCAATTAGGTATAAGTGGGGATGCAACTTGGATTGGGTTGAGTTGTTAATTTGTTATTTAAAATTTCAATGGGTTTGAATCCAAATCCAATAGTAGTGTAGCCCCATGTTGGATAACACGACTTGCAGCTCTAGATTTAAAAGACTCCAAGGATAGAATAAGAAACAGTAGTAGTGTAGCCCCATGTTATGGGTCCTTGCGTTATCTTTTATTGCTTAATCAGGGCCTTCTATGGTCTCTCCCTTACTCCTTTACAACCTTATATTAGCGTCAAGTCAGTTGTCGCCTTCTCCTATTATTATTATATTCATGGTTCAAAATATGAAAAAAAAAAACTAGAGAAATTTTCATTTTATCCCACCTCACAAATTTTCATTTGTTTTCTGATTTTATTTTCTAAAATCTCCATCTATGATACAATACCATACCATGGTACCACTCCCATTTATTGTGTCAAATTCGCCTACCTGTATAATTATACAGGAAAAAAATGTGAGGTGGGAGAATCTGAAAATTCCTTTTGAAATTGACTGGGTTTAAATATCTTAAATTATAGTTGGTGATGTAATATTAATCCCTGAAAAAATGTCATAACCAAAAAAAGTAAAGCAGAACTAGAGTTTTAGAGTTTTGGTTGTTTGAAACTAGATCTGTCATACTTTGAGCTTTGATTTATTCAACTATATTAAACATATTTCTTCCGTTTAATCACCTGTTAGAGCATTAACTATGGAACTTAAAGAATGATGGAAGGGAATAAAAAGAAAAGAGAGGGAAAGGAAAAAAAAAAAAGTAGAATCCATATTCCAAATGAACAAATTTAAACTTGGAAAATTATCTTTCTAGTTCTTGGAGAATAAGGAGAAAAGGGATTAATCGAAAAAGATCTCTTGTTCTTATTATAAGACTGTCCTTCCAAATGTACTCATTTCTAATTCAATATTTCTTAGACTGTGTTTGGTTTAAAAGAAAAGGTAGGCACAGTAAGGGAAAGGTAGGGAAACCTATACAATTTCATATTACTTTGCTAATACTATTCTTCCTTTCTTAGGCTGTATTTGTATAAGTTTCCTTACCATTTCTTTCAAACTAAACACAGCCCTTGGTGTCCATCTTAGCAATTTCATCTGTCTGCACAATATTTCTTAGTTCTTACCATATTGCATTGCTAACTACTGTTCCTCCTTTTAGCCTCTTAGTTACTGAACTCGTTTCTTTGACAGTTTTGAGTCTTCTGACTAGTCAAAATTTTAATTGCTAATCTTATAAAACAGTCCTCTTCAGTTTGAGTTTGACTACTCAAACTCTGTAACTCTGTAACTGTGAGACCATGGTTTATAATTCACCACTATTTAGGTGCAATTTTGGTCAGGTTGGATTGTAAATTTGTTAAATTTTCAATGTGTCTAAGCCCGAATAGCTGAACCCATTAGTTAAAATTCTACAAATCTGCAACCCCTTATTCGTGCTTTACACCCATCTGTAGTAATTTCATGTCTATGTAAAGAATTTTATTTTTCTTTTTTCTTTCTCAAAAGTATGGAATAGCATATATATGAAATTTGCAAAGAAAAGCAATCTAAATTTATAAACATTAGAACCTTTTTCAAAATATTCTGATAGGTGATAATATGCACACTGATATCTCTTTTATTATTTGAACAGAAGATTTCCTTTTTGAAGAACTTTTTTATTAAGCATTTACCGTGTTTTTATCCCAATTTTTCCTTGTTATAACATTGTAAAATCCTGGACCTACAAAAACCTCAAATTTGGGTAACTGGAGAGTTCTAAAATCATTGCAGATTACAGAATTAATGCTAATGTGGTACGTAGTTTTATTAGTGAAGCATTGACCAAAGTAACTCAGGGGACAGTAAATATGATATGCATCTTTTCTCAGGATTGAACTTTGAACCATTTATGTAATCGTTGGCAGCTCTTTTAATTATTAAAGTAGTGGACACTAGACCATCACCTTTTTCATGGATTCCTCAATTCAAAACACGTAACCGGATTCATCATAGATAAGGGCGGAGACAAGTATCTTGGTGCCAAACCTTTTATTAAAACCATCATTTATATGCGCTTAATATGTACAGATTGGATCAAAACCTAATAAAGTGATAAAATATAAAGGATTATTCTCTTTAATACTCTTTCCAATTCTCAAATGTATATAATTTAAAATATTTATAATCTACTTAAACCTATTTTCCCTCGAACCCTATTTTTTCTACTCCTTATCTCATTTTATTGTTTAACATTTTAATTTGCCCTCCCCACCCACCAAAAAAAAAAAAGAAAAGAAAAAATCCCTTGACTCCACCACTGATCATAGCAGTCTTCAAATGGATGCCTTTGATCCAGACTAAATATCAACCACCTGTCCCATAAAGAAGTGAAACATGGAGCCTGTGTTTAGTCGCTGATGTGGGGTCGTTCATAAGGGTTCCTTTTCATCAAGAGTGAATTGAGCACATCCCAATTTTGGGATGAAATAAAATATCCTTAATTATTTATAAAATAATGATTTTTTTGTAATTAAAAATAAAAATAATAGTTTTTTGTGAATGTTATCACTTACCATGATAAAAGGGGTATGCCCACAAATCAGTTGCCTTCCTTTTCTTTTGATTGTAATAGTGGAGGTTAAAATGAAAGAGAGGGGATGATCTGCCAATAAAATACATTCCAACACTCTGTCAATTTGATATGACACCACACATCTTACTATAAAATTGGGGCCAACTATAAAAGTGAGATCCGTCATGTATGAGATGTATGATGCCAGATGATGTTGATAGGGTGTTAGAACATAATCCGGGTTCAAAATGAAAGCACATCAAATTTTCCATGTTATGATAACAACAACCTATTTTCAAAATCCACAATTAATCTACTTTTCAGAAAAAAATGCAAATCCACTAATTACCGAAAAGAAATTCCAAATCCATTTACTAATTACATCTGTCCGTATCAAAGATTAAAACATTGATATGCCTGATAATCTGTTTTTTAATTTTATATTTTTAAATTTAACAAGTATTAGAGGATATTACAGAGTATTTTAATGTATATTCTCTGGATGCACCGATATTGGTGTATATATCAAATTGATATTATAATACTTAATTCTAAATATTTTGAAAGCATATTTTATTCTTGTCCATACCTTGTTCGATTTATTTGAAGAATTCAATCCCTTTCACTTTCAGGTGACTCATATTTCTTTGACTGAATAGTGGACGCCAAACGGACTATTTTGAGGGCATAATTGTAAAAATATCTACGTTAAACGACACAATGTATCATATATGGGGACATTGGAATATATATATAAAATTGGGAATTGGACCCATAAATCTTCACTAGGATCCACATAAATCGCTGTTCAGTAATTTAGAATTAAGAGACGGTTGTATGGACGCCTTCAACTTCATCCAACCAGTCAGCTTCCTTAGTTTCCGTTTCATGGATAAAGTATTAAAGTATAGACATCACCTTTTCTAATCCAGACTCAGCCCGCCTGCAGCAAAGCGAAGCATATCATTGACTAAACATCGAGACTTTATCTATCATCGAGTTGCTATACGACGATTCCAACTATTAATAACCCATTCACTTGGAAAGTTGGAGCCCCCCTCAAAGCATTTTTTAGGAGATTAATTTCCAATTAACAAATTATGGTAATAATTGAGGCAAACAAAGTATTACAAAACTCTTTTTAGAAGAGACCGGATCTGCTCTTCACACAGGGCTTCTCACACCGACCTCACACACATATCCTATCATGCATTGGGAACATTTCCCGTATTTATAAGTTATTATTCATAGGATATGTTTCCAATGCATGGTGGATGTGCTTATAAGGCGCCCATGTGTGAGGAGCAAATCCCGTTCCTTTTTAGAACCCCACTACTTTGTTGGGGTTTACTCACAGATTGCTGCTCACCAACTGTGGTCATTTGGGATTTTGAGATTGAGGGTGTTCTTTGGTTTGAATTATGGGGTAGAACTATCTACATTTGTTGTTGGTCATAAAAAATTTGTATGAATTAGTGAAGAGGGATTTTATGTTGGGAAATAGGGTCATTGAGACTTGGAGGAGAAGGTTTGATGCGCGTATTGTCTTTATAACGTCATTTGCCCCTATTCAATTTTACTGAATTTGTTGTTGGGTTACAAGTAAATCCATTCCCAGGATACAACAGAGCCTTGTGCGAGAATATGCAACCAGCAAAGTGGAAGAGTCTTCGAAGAAACCTTCTGTGAGATAGTAATAGATCGGACTGAGAGAGAGAGAGAGAGAGAGAGAGAGAGAGAGACAAAGTGATTTTTGAAATTGTTTGTAAAATTCTTAATTCATGCTCCTCAAATAGTTTCTAAAGAGTTATAGAGTAGAGGAATGTGTTGCTTCAGAGAATGCACATTGAATAGTCACAATTTCAAATATTGACTGTTTAAAAGGTAATTAACAGTTAATGACTCTTAACTTTGAATTGTGCCTCTTGATCACACCTGATCGAATTGTGATCGTTAATCCTATCAGCGGTCAACCTCGCACCAAAAGTCAAAGCCTCCATCCGCGAGCCACGCAGGTGTGAGCAAAGTACCTCTAAAGCACCTCATTGCACCACACACACGCGTATGTGCACGTTGCGTGGTAGCAAGCCTCCATACTCTCATTTCTTTATCTAATAAGTGTAAATAAGCTCCTATTAAAAGACCTAAAACAAAATTTGTAATTTTCAATATGGAACAAGTTGAAAAATTGTTTTTAGTAAGAAAAGAAGCTATTTTCAAGACATATGTATAAGTATAATTTTTCATGTAATTGACCAATCAAACCCCATTAGATTTAATCTCCATTGAGATTAAAATCCAACATTTTATTAACATGAAATATTTTGGATTGATCAATACAAAGTCCTCAGCCCCATAAATGCAATTTTTTTTCCAATCGAAGGGATTATTACCATTGTGATGTAATACTACATGTTTCTTACAGCTGTGTGTTGATCAAGCTAAAACATTTTCAGGTATAAACAATTATAGTACCAAAATATAACCTAAATGAACAGAAAAATAAAGTTTTTTTTTTTTTAAATTATGTTATCCAAATTATCTTAACTTTTTTATTCTCTCTCTTGATAGGGCCCATACACAGAAGGGTGCACATGACTGAGGCCCACTAACCATGCCACAAAGAGACTATAGTTCCACAGGTCCTTTTAGATTGGAACCGAGTGACTGTCAATTAGGGTGATCCACGCAACATTTTCCTTGGAAGATCCATTGATGATCTCTCATAAATCACTATTTATTACCATAATTGTTCTGCCACCTTTTAACCCAAAAACTTATCTAGGTAGGGTAGTAAGACTGAAACTAACCGTACAGTGCAGTGGAACAGGGGCCTTTACATCATTTTCACCGCTATCGGACTCTATGGGAGTCATGATTTCCTCGGAATGGTGTAATTCTGTCTCCACTCTCCATGTACACAATGCTGAAGCGGGCCCATCTACAGAACTGGTCAGCCACATGAATCACTTGACTCGGTAAGGACGACTGATGAAATCTAAAAAACAGGCTAACCCAAAAAAGTAGTAATTATGTGATCAAAACAGAAATACTCCATTTTTTAAAATACGTAATCACAATGGAATGTTCAATTGACAGTATCGATCATACAGGTAGTTTATTATCATTTGTCCAAACTCCAAATATGGCTGCCTTCATCCAAATTTGATTCTATTAACAAATTCGATCTTACCCATTGGATTTCGATAATAATATAATTTGATAAAGATAGAGGTCCAATTAAAAATGGATCCAACCGAATCCTCTTTAAATGGATTATTTTTGAATTCAGTTTTATTTTATTTTACTTTTTAAGCCCCTTTCAATTCAGGATTTCAGGTTGAACAAGTGGATACTAATATGGTTTTGATTTTTTGAACAAGGTTCAAACTTCAAAGATACTTGATTTTGAAGCTTGGCGAGTCATACTGGTTGCCATGAGACTTAGGTCATTATCGAAAAAGATACATATCTCACACATTTGGGTATGAGCCATTTGGAAGCCAAAGTCTGAAGTTTAAATATAAAAATATGTATTTATTTAGATATTTTTAATATTTTTGGAAGTTCAAAATGTGTATAGAGGGGATCATCTTGGTTATTTGAGCAATTTTATTTTATATATTTATTCTTTGTATGTACCGACTACCGACTTATTTCTTTTATCATTTTAACAATTTTGGATTTTGGGACTTGGCAAAAAATCATTGGATGGTCCAGAGGATGTATGCTCGCCCTATACAGGCTCAGACCAGGGGCTTCAGGGGACTGGCAGTGCTGAAGACCCAAAGTAAAACGTAAAAATAATAGTGCTACAAAGCCTTGTAGACAGTAGTGGCTGTCGGAACGTGGACAGCCAAAATTTTCTCGATGAATGGCCAATAATAGTAAATTAGTAATATGTAGCTGCAGTTTCCAATTCCAGTTTACCACATGATAGTTAATCGAATGTCAAAACCAATTGAAATTTCAAATTTATATTGCAGGGAAAACAAACGAGAATTCAAAGATCAATAAGACTTTAATGTTCAACTCAAGTAGAAACTTTTGGGTGGAAAGGAGGAACAACCATAATCCAGAAAAATATGGTGACAATGCAAAAAAATAAAACAAAATAAATAAATAAAAAACCCTAGGATTCCAAAATAACCGTTCATCTTCACACAGTTATTGTCTGCAAATCCTCCATTGCCATTCCCGGCCATAGAAGGAAGAAATTGATAAAAGGAATTACAATCCAAAAAAGAAAGAAAGAAAGGGACCCATGATTACGATCCAGACCTACAGGCCCTGCTCAACGAGATAATCTCCCAACCTCTCAACAACCATATTGCACTGTCCAGGAGTCATGGGCTCTTCGTAGAGACCAAAAATTAGTGCTTGATTGGTCTTCTTTATGGTGATGCCACCAGTTCCCTGCCAAATTAAATACATGAGCAGATACTAAATATTAGTTATTCCCCAGCAAATATCTGGTAAAGTAGATAAGCAAACTGCAAAAGTAATTTGAGCCTGTTTATATGTAACAAAGACACCAGCAGCAACTAGAAATTGCTAATGTGATTTTAGATTCAACTACTGGTGATTAATGGTTGCCGCTTAGACTGTCAACCAATAATTAAGCTGGCAACATCTAATAGGTTGATTTGGGTTTTCTTTACAAGCATGAATTGAACCATGCCTAGAGCATATAGCTCATCACGTCCCCGGTATGCATATAACAGAAGTACACAATAGAAACCCTTGTGTTTTTGCTTGTGTTTCAGATTGCTATACGTGCACACATGTGCATATCATAAAATCACAAAAACAAGAAAAAAGATACCTAGATTTATTGTGTGAAACTAAAAGCCAATTTGTTCGTGTAGATATATTGAAGATCTAAGTATAAATTAAATCACCTTCTTCCCACGGATGACAGATCCCTGCTCTCCTTGGATAACCATGTATTTTGTACCTCCAAGAAATAAGCCAGTAGGGGCAAGGTGGCCTGGTTCAGCAAAATCTTGCATGATACCATTGATCTCCTCAGACTTAAACTGAAAAACAAAACAAAAAAAAAAGCAACAACGGGAAAAAGGAGGTTAGTGATTTATGCCAAAAAGAACATTTTGGAAGAAGCGTCACACCATGAAAGTAAACATTTACAAGTGAAGAAGTCAACCGGCATGATGAAATACCATCATGTTTTGTTGACAGATAATCAAAACATATAGAGAAATACCATCATGTTTAAATGTTTTTCCCCTAACAGAATAAATAAACAAATAACAACTCTGCAATATAAAAACAGAGAATGCAAAAAGGGATGAACCAGAAGGGCAAACACTGTTATTGATCGGACCGGCATAATGTATCACAATCATAAAAAACGAAGTCGAATTAGAAAACTCAAGGATCCTAGCAAAAGTGGTTGAACCTAGAATACATATTTCAACAATGCAGCATCTCCTCGATGAGGATGAATTCTTTCATTCTTCAAATCATTGTATTCGGATCATCAACACTAAACCACCAAAGAATAAAGACAAACGAGAAATAACAATGAGTGTAGATATGTGGAGTTGACGGTTGATCAAAATTAATCAACTAAATAGATCAAACTATACGGACAAATCATTACGAGAATGCTTTCCTGATTCAATAATAAAACACCAAAGGGATATTCAATCAGAAAATAGCCATAATAATGACCATCCGATTGACTAAAATCATCACTCAAGGGAACATCTATCAATACGGAGTCGGACTAAGAAAACACCAATAAGAACATAGTCAGATCATATGGAAATCACAACAACAAGGAAGAAGAAAACAATCGAAACTCGAAGAGAAAGGAAACCTGAGGAAACGACTCGCTCTGAGCCCACACGCTTCCGTCGTGACCGATAATGGCAGCAGCGGAAAGGCGGTGGCCCTCGATGTCGCACATTAGGTGCTCGTCAACATAAGATTGCCACGACATTTTTGCTCTTCGTCTTCTGTTCCTTCTCCTCTGGTTTTTCTCTTCTCGTGCGTTTTGCGCGTTCCTCTTGTTTCTTCTTTCTCGTTCGGAGTTCAAATGAACAGAACAAATAAATAGAGGTCGATTTGAGAATTGAGAGAGGCTTTGGAACGAGGTTAAAGAGAGAGAAGATGAGTAGAGGTCACGATGGATGGATCCCGCTACTTCTCCTTCAACCGTTCATCCCATCCGATTCAATTCGTGCCATTCACGTCCGCAAAATACGTCCTTCATGGTTACAGAAAAATACGCCCGGATTTCATTGGAAATACGAAAATACCCTTCTACTTTAGTGTTTGCACGATTGCACGTTAAAATGGTAACCCCACAACTCTCATTGATCGGATGCGTGCCTCGTGTCCTCTGACTGTTGCTTTCTTAATGCAGAGGCGATCTTCCCCATGATGAACCCCCAGGGGAGTGTCGTGTCTCGTGTGGAATTCTTCAAGTACACTACAAGCATAATTTGCCAGAGGCTAAACAATAATGGGACCCACCATGTGTTCGGAGATCATTAACGTCTGATCACTGAAGGTGGGGGAATGCATGGGAAATCTGTGTGGTGGGGTACCACCTCCAGCTGGCCAGCTCAGTATCACATGAAGCCTCATGATGAGATGATTCCGAAGTAGGGCAATTAGATCTGTTAGGCCACGCCGGGTTTCAATTCCATCATGATGAGATATGCTACTTGCTAGTGATGCCCGCGTTGCAGTTGGACCGTACACGTGTCAGGGGACCCGTGCCTTGGAGCACTCAGACTCTGAGCTCACCATTAGGTAGGCCCTACTTAGCTGGCCCAAGATTAAGCTCCTCAACATGTGATATTTTCTGAATCCAGATGGACTATTAATTTAAAAGTTTGGTTCCAATCAGTCGTTTAAAATTGATTTGATTAAACTGATATTAGTGTACCAATAGTTGTAGAGTTCTAGTTGGGACCGATTCAACGGTCGTTCACAATTCTTGAGAAAATTGTTGGCAGGTGGCAGCAATTCATGGGCCCCAAACACGTAGGTAAAATAACCATCTTTTGACCTAGACTCCCTCGTGCATGCAAGGTCCCAAATCTCAATATTCTAAAGAAGGAATTAATCTTCTCCATAACAAAATTTCAACTAAATTTTCTATAATTCAGGGGGTGTTTTTTTTCATGTTAAAAAAAAAAATGGTTGTGTTTCAAAATTATACCGCCACTTTTTCTAAAAAAAAAAATGAAAAATATTGATTTTGAACCGTAAGTGTTTATAGATTATTGTTGTGATTATGACCATCAATAACTTTTTTTTTTTGTATGATTTACATGTATATAAGTAATTCACCTGCCATCATTTAATTTTGATCATACGGCTATTTGTTTATAATATGTGAAGAATAATATAAGAATATGATCATCCTTCATTTTAAACCACGTATTTATGCTCAAAAAGCTATATTTCATAGATTAAAAAAATGGGAATTTTTCTGGTTTTAAAATTATATTTTAGGAATGCTGGTTGCGTTTGTGAACCAAATGAAACACGATCATGAAAAGAACAACCCATGAGTTATTTATTTATTTTTGTGTATTTAGACCCGACCAGTAGACATGATCCTTTTTGTTTAAGCTATTAAATTCAAAATAAGGAATGATCTTCCTTTTTGAGTTTGAAAATATTTGCATCCAACCCTTGAAAAGGTAGTTGAAACGGCAACTGTGATCCTCTCCAACATACTTGTTGAGCCATATCATGAGCTAACATGATATGTTTTCCACTTACATAATAGATATTACAAGTATCAAACAGCCTCTTGATAGAATAGATTCTGTCTCTATACATTTTTCTTTTCCAACCAGCTATAATTAATATTACAGTAATAGAATTTATAATGTCTATTACTGCCTTTGCATCACATAAAATAGTAATGTCCTTTAATATTCCTACTTTTTGCTTCCTGTAAGCCCATAAGGATTGCACCTATATCAGATGGTTGGTTTGTTTGGATCCTAACCCCTGCAACTGCCAATACCTTGCATCCATTTTGAATTAACACATGCTGCAGAAGCTATGTGAGCCCCATGTGGATAGGCTCCATCAGTATAAAGAGAATATTGGGTGCTAAGATTGACATCCAATATCCTATTTTGAGTTGGAGTAATCTTTGAAGAGTAAGTATATTTTGCTCACAAACTTAACAATCTATATGGGATCTGGTGATATATTTTCATATATTTTCTGATCCCTAGAGTCCCATATCAACCAAAGTGCAACAGCTGCTCTTCCTACTAGAAGAAATTGCTTCTCCTTTAAAAAAAAAAAAAACTAGCTGGCAACATATTTAACCATTGCTAAATATGATAGTAAACATGAGCATCATATGATAGTAAACATATGCAAGCCACACTAAACTTTTCTTACAAAATTACTTTTGAAGAATAGATGTTGAGGTGTTTCCAGATGTCTATTACATACATAACCCACACATCACATCTTGGAGTAAACTAAAATTTGTTTCTTGTAGGTATAGCATCTCAAAAGATTTTCCAAAGGAAAATATGGAATCTAAAAGGAATTTGTAGATTCCATATCTTATTCCAATCAACTGTTTGACTTGATGGGCCAAGCAAGTCTTTAATGAAGACTGCATAGACAGACTTGACTGAGTAAATATGTGAAGCATAGTGTTTCCATAGAATCTGATCCTCTGGTAAGTGTGAAAAGATTTGAATTTCTGAGATAGAAGCTTGATCAAATATCTGATAACATTTGCATATCCCAATCCCTATTTGGTTGTAGTAAATCCTTGACTTTTAGACTGTTGTAAAAATCTTGGAAGCGTTTACATAACCTCCATGCATTGTAGGCACCCAAGGATCATGAAACACAATAATTGAGGCTCCACTCCTCATAGATCTGCCATATAAAATCGTTCTTCAATTTCTACGAGTGTGACTGTTTTGGTTTTTGAGTTGATTGCCGACTATTTTTGTTATGCAGTCAAAGGGATTGGGCCATTTAGATGATCCATGATTTTATAATTAAATATTTAAGTAATTGCAAGGAATACTTGTAAAATATTTTATAGAAATACGTAAATAGAACTATTTTTTTTTCTGTCCAATGTTGTTTTTTCCCCTTATCCTTTCTAGCTAGATGCTAATAAACATTATTAAATGTATTAACTATTAAGCTAACATGATCGAGTTGAGTAGGCTGTTTCTCAAAAACCCTTTTTTTTCTGCCTTGTGGAAAGATTATGTCGTCAATCCAAGACTCGTTATTGCAACGCATCATACTTAATTGTATAATATCTGATGGGTCGGTACTGTTTTTTTATTTTTTTTTCGAATCTGGTTTAAAGGGGCCAGTCTACCCCTGAACCACTCGCCGACCCGAAACACTCTCTGTAGGGGCGTATCGGGAAGACTCCAATACGGTCCGATACATGATGATATTTTTGAACCTTAGGAATATCTAAAACTTTAGCTGTCAAACATGGACAGCCAAACTTCTCACAGGATGGGATTGTCTCTCTAGCCTTAAGACCCTTGCAACGGGGATCAGTGGCAGTACACAACTTTTTTAATCTGCAGAGAACAAAGTAAAATACTACAAATTAGACACAAACAAAAGGTTCAAAATATCATTACATATTGACCCGTATCGGCCGATACATATCATATTGGGGCCTTCCCTATATGCCCCTACAGGGTGTGTATCTCTGGTCAGGCCATGGTTCAAAGGGTAGCTAGGACTTAAACCAACCCCTCTAAACCGGTTTTGAAAAAAAATTAATAAAACACAAAAAAAGACTCCAGATCTCCTGCCCACGAGAACTCTACCCACATTTATTACAGCCACACATGGAGAACATCTTATCCTCTACATAGTATTATGCAGGGAGATGTTGCCAATTCAAGGGGGGTAGTGTATTGTGGGTAGGCGTGGGCAGGAGATCCGGAGCAAAAAAAAATGGCACTGATACAGGCCTACCGGCTACCGGCGTGTCAGACTGTATTGATATTTTAGAACCTTGCGCAAACATATGGGAGATTGTTGGGTTGGGATTTGTAAGTTGTGATCACATTACTTCATTTTTTCCCATTTTTTTCAAGCTCTTTATTTCATGGGTTAATTTCAATAGATCTGTTGCAACATCCACGAGTACAGCAAAATTTATTGATGAAGAAAATAAACAGTTCGGAGGATGTATAAAAATCAACATTCAGAGCTTTTCCCTTCATAATCTATAAATCCCATGCGACTAAAATGCGAAAAACAAAAGGTGAGAGAAATCAGTAAGAACTCAATTTTCAGTTAAATCTTCATTGGGATAACATCAGATCCGTCTTTCAATGATGAATGTTATAGCTCAGCCCGAGGTACTGCACTGTGAGTCCATTCAGGTGAATCTTTTTCCCCGCAACATTGGTTGCTAATTCTTTTCTTCAGCAGTGTCATCAGAAATGCTAGCAAGTAGAGATAAGAGTAGATGTTTCGAAGTTTCCACATAGCATAACTGTCCTATCAATTTAGCCGATAGCTTCTGCCTCTGAAAGCAACTCCAGCTGCCCTATCAGACTGGGAAGACATACTTGGCTGATGTCCTATACCCCACCGGGCAACAAGCTTATGCCTATAAAATAGTAGTGAAGGAACTTGCAACAGAGGAAAGGAAATGTACACATTTTACCAGTTGATGTTAGTTGTTTTACCTCTCAAAAAGATTAATTATTAGGGCTTGGCTTTTATAATCACCTCTTCAAAGAGAGAATAAATGGCTTTAGCAAATGGTTTTACAAATTTAAATTTCATCTTGGGGCATTAGCAAATGTTTTAGTTAAAAATTAATATGAACACTTAGAAAAGGGTGCAAAAGATATAACGGTAAGACATGCAGTGTATTTAGAATTGTAGACATTATATATACATATATATATATATATATATATATATATATATATATATATGTATATTTACACTAGCATGTTTATACCTTTAACCAGGGGCCATTACTTGTATAATGGCAAGATCTCAGGCTATCATGTGTGAGAATGCTAGTTCGCCAGGATGGTCATTCTGTGCAGAAAAATGTGAACGGTGAAGACCGTAACCACTCTACCCCTCCCAAGAACCCAGATAACTGGGACCAAAATTGGTTGTAATGGCCTTTTATATGTTTGTACGTTTAACCAGATCAAATCCTAAGAGGATTGAATTAAGGTTTGGTCCATCCTCAATTTGATTATTGATGGAGCCGTAAAGTGAGCTACGTTGCTCCAAACTCCAGGATCTCCTTATTGGGACCCAAACCTGTCCCAAATCCAAAGTAATAGGATTGGATCAACTGACTCTGGTTGGTTGATTGTAGGATAACTGCCTTATACGGGTGCAAGTTGGGTGGGCCTGACCCAAGCCCAGATCAGCCTAGCCCACACTTTTATGGATTGAGCTTGGATTTTTGGTCCTTGGGCAGGGCCTGGGGTCAAAAGTTCAGGCTTTCTATTTTTTTGGGCTGGACTTAGGACTAGCCCTTAGGTAGCCCGAGCTCACCCTGACCTTATCCCAACCTAACCCCGGCTTAATATATAGACACATCTGCATGCATACATACATATGGGCTTAGTCCGGGATAGGGCCCTAGTCCCAATTATTATGGTTGGGCTTGAGCCTGGGTTGAGACCAAACTCGGCCCAGCCCCGACTTGTACATTTACTGCCTTGATATAGCTAAAAGAAAACCTTGATTCCAGGTCAGATGGCCATCCACTCATAAACTCCCAAAGGCACCAGGGGGTAGGGGAGGGGGAGAATGAAAGGGCATTCCAAACAAAGGAAAACAAAAGGAAGGATACACCCATATTGGTGTCTTCAATATGTTCTTTCCACCAGACAGAGGATGTAATACCGTAATGAAATAATATAGATGTCCTGCAATGATCCCAAGCAGATCTGGCATGAGAGGTGAACCAAAAATTACATCCAAAGCGAGCATTGTCCAGGGTAGATAAAATGCCTGCAAATAGGTACATGAAATACGTAAGACAAGCATAATAGCGAAATGGACAGTAATTCATATGCAAGAATAAGCAAGAAAGAAACAGAACTTGGCATACCTTGAGTGTAACGAGTCCATATATATTGATCTGAGCATTTGGGAACTCTCTACTCCAAACATAGAGAAGCATAAACACCAGTGAAATGCCTAAGAATGGGGTCCATAATAGAGGAATGGCAGATAAAACCTATGACATCCAAGTGCAAACAAAATAGGAGAAAAACAAGTATTACTTTATTTTTACATGCATGGATAAAGATAATAGAAAAGAAATGAATTTGAATTTGGGAAACATGGGAACGGAAATGCAAAATGAAAGGACTTTAAAATGACACCCCCAACTTCCCGCATAAAAAGACACCACCTTAAAAAAGAAACACACAATGTCAGAAAATGCAATGCAGCAAAACGTCCACTGCTCTCCAAATTTACCAAAGCTCATTCTTTAGAGCCAAAAGAGCCAAACAGTGTAATCCAAAAAGTAACGGATTTGTGGTTCCTTTTCTCATCTTGCCTTTCCATTTCTATCCCAACTAGTCAACGGGCTGGGGGTTAACTTCACAAAGAGTAGTATAGTGACAATCAATTCAGTTGAAGAAGCTCTTGTGGAAAGGTTCAAGGAAATTCTGAACTGCCGAGTGGAAAACCTTCCCCTAACCCATTTAGGCTTGCCTCTAGGTGGGAACCCAAAAAGTCCAAGTTTTTGGGAGCCGGTGTTGGAAAAATGTGAAAAGAAGCTAGCTACTTGGAAATGATGTTATTTGCCAAAAGGGGGAAGGCAATCATTAAGACTTCCCTTGCAAATCTGCCCACCTATTTCTTCTTAGTGTTCCAAATTCCTGGCAAAATCAGAACACAGATTGAGAAACTTCAAAGAGACTTCCTTTGGGATGGTGGAGGGGAGAAAAGAAGTCATCTAGTAACTTGGGCCTCAGACTTGTAAATCTAAAGAGGCGGGAGGGCTGGAAATTGGTCACCTGAAAGAGAGAACACTTCTCTACTTGGAAAATGGCTGTGGAGATTCCCTAAAGAGACAAACTCTCTTTGGGCAGCTGTCATCACCAGTAAGTCTCGGTTGGACACCAATGGTTGGGATTGCAACCTTCATCCAAACTGTGTAACTTCATCAAGCCCTTGGAAAGGTATCATCTCAACCTCTAACAAATTCTTTCCTTTCGTAAGGTTTAAAGTGAGCAATGGTACTAGAATAAAATTCTGGACTGATCTGTGATGGGGCAACACTACTTTAACAGTTTCCTACCCTAGACATTTTAACCTCACCCTAAACAAAGAAGCAACCATCTCCCAGTGCCTCCTCTCTTCCCCCACTGAAAGCAACATAAACTTGAGCCTTAGAAGACCCTTAAGGGATTCAGAGATCAATGAGCTAACTGAACTCCTCCTCTCCCTCAGAGAAGCCTACATCTCCCCTAATTCCCTAGACTCCTGTGTCTGGAAATCTCACCCTATAGGCGAGTTCTCCTCCAATTCTTTCTTCAAGGTTCTAGTTGCAGAGGAGCAGAATTATCACTTCCCTTTCTAGAAGGTCTGGTGCAACTACATCCCCTCTAGGGTGTGTTTCTTTGTATGGGAGGCCTGTCTGCACAGGATACACTTGTGAGCTATTGCAAAAGAAGAATTTTGGCAGACTTTTCATCTCCCCTCATGTCTGCATCCTTTGCCTGAGAGAAGGGGAATCAACCAACCATCTCTTCATTCACTGTCAGGAAACCAAGGACAACATCTGGAGCCGTTTTCTACAGCTAGCTGGGTACAGTTAAGTGTCTCCAAATCACCTCCAGGACTTGTTCCATCAATGGCAAGGCAAAGGACCAAGTAAAAGAGGTAAGGTATATTGGCAAATAATTCTGCATGCTGTACTTTGGGGAGTTTGGGAAGAAAGGAACAACCACTTGTTTGAGAACAAGGCTAAGACAAAGACTGATCTGATCTCTCATATTACCTATCTTTGTAATCAATGGGCTTCCAGCTCAGACAAGTTCAAAGGAGTCTCTATAAATGACCTAAACAGGGATGCTGGTTTTTTCCTTTTCA